GATACAACATCTTTATTTTATTTTTATGTGGTGCTGAGGATTGAACCCAGCGCCCGGCGCATGCCAGGTGAGCGCGTTGCCGCTTGAGCCACATCCCCAGCCCAACGCTGACCCCTTTTATTGAGGAGAAGCTATTCAAATGAGGCAAGGGGTCAGATTTTAGGGGGCTGACTCTATCTTCATGATGTCCACTGTCAGCAGGTTGACTGACACCTGGGTAGGCCACACCCAAGGGCACAGTAAGAGAAGGGGACACACACAAGGCACTTCCATGGAAGATTCTATCCTAAACAGGGCAAGGGGTTAGATTACAAAGGAACAGGTGAGCATAGCTCCACCATGGGGCTGTAGGAAGACACATCCATGCAGGAGACACCAGCCCTTGCACCCAAGGAGGGTGGGAAAAGCTCTGCCACGTTTCTATGACTGAGCGCCTCAGCACCCAGCCAGGGAGTGTGACTCAGTCACCCGTACGGTTGGTCTCCCACACCAAACCAAACCAAAAAACAGCAGCGGAGCATAGACCAGAGGCCAGGAAAAAGGACAAGCTTTCCTCATTTCAGTACCCGGCCTTGCAGGAACCAAGTGCACATACACAGCTGCAAAACAGCACTGGCTAATTACCACAAACCAAGATGTGGCAGCTGGCAGGTACCCAGAGGCCTCGCTAGTCCCAAGTCCTCATTTTACAGAGGAGGAATCGGAGCCTGAGGACAGGGAAGTCACTGGCCCAGGACATATGGCTCATTAATGGCAGACCTCGGTGGAGACTAATTTGTAATTCCCAATCCAGTGCTCGGTGCCCACTGCTCTGTGGGAGCCATGAGGGTGGAGTGGGCACCACGGCCCTGGAGGGGTCCTGGGTGACGGGCAGGGCAGGACACTGCGAGGTGCCACAGAGGCAGGCAGAGCCCTGTGCAGGTTTGCCTGACGAGGCGAACAGACTCCAGCTCACACTTGACCGCTGGTTGCTGGCACCCGCGGGCCCCGCCTGGAGCTTTATCTGACATGCAGCCACCTGGCATTTCTGCAGTCCTACAAATTGTTTAGTGGTGAATATGAGTAAATACGAACTGTCTGCTGATCTGTTATATTTAAGAGTGAAGGAACAAAACCAAGCAAATGCTAGGTTTGGAGAGGCAAGATCATCTAGAAGTAGGATTTATATAGGTTTTTTCCTGTTGTTTTCATTGACTGAATAGGATGAGTGAGTAGTCAGATAGTTGAGTTGGCTTTAGTTGTGTTTTTTTTTTCTTATTTTTTAGTTGTAGGTGAACACATACTTTTTTATTTTTCGGTGGTGCTGAGTGTCGAACCCAGTGCCTCACGCATGCTAGGCAAGCGCTCTACCTCGGAGCCACAACCCCAGCGCTAGTTGTGGTTTTTAAAGGTAAAGAGGATACAGGGAAAATAAGCTCGCATAAAAATAGGTGAAAAGGAAAGAAACGATGAAAACGCATCAGTGTGCCCTTCCAACACCAGCCAGGCGAGCGGGCTCATCGGGATCCGGGAGCCCCACTTCTTATCCGCTGTCCTCAGTTGCCTGGACACACTGCTCCGACTCTTGGTGTTCCCCTCCATAACGACATTTGTCTCCACCGCGTCCTCAACTATGCACTTGTCTTCTGCTTCACTGATGTCTGTCTTCACCCTTATTCTCCCTTCACACTCCTTCCTTTCATTTTCTCTTTTATATTTTCTTGAGAAATGCTTAGAAGTTGATTTTGAATTCCTTATTTACTTATATTTAAAGCTATGAACTTCCCTGTAAGCCTCCATCTCTCCCCCCCTTCCTCCCACTCCCTCCCCCTCCCTCTCTCACCCCTGCCCCCCCCCCTCCTTCTGTCTCTCTTTTTCCTTCCCATCTCTCCCTTCAGTTCCAGGTACCACGGTGCTCCCACAGTCCTATGCGAGTGAAGAGTGGGTGAGGACAGTGGCCTCATTTCCATGCATGTGGCCACAGGGCCATGCAGATGCCTCTGGCCTTTTCCGACCCCACAATCGACTCCGCTCTTCCCCAGACCTACCAATTCCCCTCAGAGCAGAAAAGCACTTGCTGGTCTCAATTCCCCTAGAAGTGATTTGTCTCTGGAATCCTGTTTCTTCAGACTTTGCGGTCTCTTAAATGACTTTTTAAAAATAGTCTGCTTCTTAAGATTCATCAGTTTTTGCTAGTTTCTGTGGTGCATGTGAGAGTGTGTTGGGATCTTCAGCATCTTAATCTGAGGAAGAAACTCCCACTCCACAGACACCTGCTGGCTGATGGTCACGTCCAGCCTCTGAGCCCATTGCTCAGGACACAGCAGTGGACAAGAGCGGTCACCAGCCCTGTAGAGGGGAACACCAAGAGTCTCAAAATTTCTGTGCTAATGTTGGTCATGGTGTGGAGAAAGTGGGGACTGGGGCAGACCACATGCCTGGAGTGGGCGCAGACTCCCCCGGGGCTGCTGGTGTGGGGTTGAGCTGCTCTGGGCAGGGGTGGGCTGGGGCTGGGTTTTCTTGTTCGGTGGCTGTGTTCACCCTTGCTGAACCCTCTTGCGTCACTGTGTGCATCTGGAGGCTGGGGTGCTGGAGGGAGGGGTTTTTTCAATGTCTCACCTCCCATTTAGCTGTAGGCTCCTGTGTGTTTCTGTGGTAGGTGGGTTTTCCCCCATGTTCTTCTCCCCTCTCAGTGGAGTCTCTTGTTTCTTGGTAGCTTGGTGATTGGGTCCTAGTGTATGACAACCAGTCCCAGGGTACCATGATACCAAAGTAATTAATAGTTAATAATAATAATAACAACAATAATAATAAAAATGAAGAGATCCAGGATTGCACAGTGTGTAATTTATGGGGGACTTCATGACAGAAGCATGGTTCTGGGTGATAATAAGACCAGTGGCTCCCCACAGTTTGGGTCAGAAGATGAGGGCTTATAAAGTGGTCAGACAGAAGTAACTTTGTCAGAGTCCGTACCGAGTTTATCTCAGATTAATAGTGGAGAGTCAGACACGTTTGGTGCCAGGGTCTGGGCATGGCATTCCGCATACACAGTAAGGGATCTGTCTACTTCTCACAGGCTGGAGACTGCTCAGGAGAAGCTGACGGGGTCACTTGGGGCCACCAATGGCAGTTATACTTAAGATGGCCGCAGGCGGGTCAAGCTGCATCCATGCCCTGGTCCAGGCGAAGCGTAGGCAGGCCCAGGAGCTCTGGTCCACTCTCAGCAAAGGCAGACCCAGGTGCCAGTGTCATTAGTTTGGGACTTTCAAAGTGATGTTGGCTCTCCTCCTTGTGGTGGCCAGACTCTCCCTGGACCTTTGGTGGGACGTTGTGAGAGGACTTGGGGGCTGGTTAGGACCTCAGCCAGCACCGCTTTCCTCCTCAGCCTGGGGGTGCGGGGTCTCGGGGTTTCTTTTCCTAGCTCCTGGGGGGTCACTTCTTGTTCTCTGTGGGACACAGCCTTGCTTCCCGGTGGCGTGGGGTCTTTGCGGGGCCACACGTCCTTCTGCTCCTGTGGAAGCTCCTCTCTCCAGGCCACACCACGGTGGTGGCTCCGTCTGGTGCTGCCCACCCCTCGCCTTCTTGATTCCTTCCTGAGCTGATCTTCAACCCAGGGGAGGTGGTCTCTGTTCGCAAGGCTGGGGCCAATGGAGTTGGCGGGGTGACTTCAGTTTTGCAGGCTCTCTGAGTCTCTGTGCTGAAGAGAGAGGTCCTCGTGATTGGGTTTAGGTTTTTTAAATTTATAGCACATTTAGCCTTGTAGTAAACGACCTTAGAATGACCCCAGATTTCTTTTAAACCCTATTTATTGGCTTGAGCTGTTTTATTGCCTCATCATGGCAAAGTCTGTAACAGATCTCTGAAGTTGTCCTCCTCCGTGCCACTGCCCAGATGAGACCAAATAGTCCTTTTATTTTATAAACATGTCCTCTTGGAACTATAGATATTCTGGGAAACCTAGATCAAGATTAACTACCCGGAAATCACGATCCAGTGAGGCCTCATTGACCTGGCTGTTCCAGAATCCCAGAGCTTTGGTTCATGTTCTTTAAGAGAACACTCCTTCTCCTGCGGTTCTCTCTGCGTGGTGTTTTCTCTGTTGTCAAAGTGCAGGTCACTTCACTGCATCTCCAAGTTGGGAGCACTGTCCCAGCCATATCCTTGTTCTGTGGCAGACTCAGATCCTCCAGGAGCCTCGCTGAAGAATTGACTTAGTGGCCATTGGAGTCATTTCCACAACTATTTAGGATGGCAATTAATTAGTGGTTAATTACCTCTGGTGTCAACCACCTAAGTTTAGGCTGGGCAATGACGCTTTTAGTTTAAAGAGGGTAAAAAAGGCCGGGAGTGCTGGCTCTCACCTGTGATCGCAGCAGCTGAGGAGGCTGAGGCAGGAGGATCGAAAGTTCAAAACCAGCCTCAGCAACTTAGGAAGGCCTCAGCAACTTAGTGAGACCCTGTTTCAAAATAAAAAAAAGAGCTGGGAGTGTGGCTCAGTGGTTAAGCACCTCTGGGCCCTGGTACCAAAAAAAGGGTAAAAAGGGAGGGGGAGGAGGAGAAGGGGGAAGGAGAGGAGGAAGAGGGAGAGGAGGGGAGGGGAAGAGGAAGGAGGGAGAAGGGAGGAGGGGGAGGGGGAGGAGAAAGAGGAGGAGGGGGAGGAGAAGGGGCAAGGGGAGGAAGGAGAGGTGGAGGGGAGGAGGGGAGGGGGAGGAGAAAGAGGGGGAGGGGGAGGGGAGGAGAAAGAGGAGGAGGGGGAGGGGAGGAGGGGAGGGGGAGGAGAAAGAGGAGGAGGGGGAGGGGAGGAGGGGAGGGAGAGGAGAAAGAGGAGGAGGGGGAGGGGGAGGAGGGGAGGGGGAGGAGAAAGAGGAGGAGGGGGAGGAGGAAAAGGGCTTATTCAGGCAAATGACAAAATCCTAGATGGAGGAATGGTCAGAGGTGACTATTAGGAATTGTGCAGGAGCATCTTACATCACCAGTGAGGAGCCCGACAGCATGAATGATATCCACGGGAAATTATAACATGTGGTCTTTGTTTTAAGGTGAGAATACATGGATAATAATTGCACTTGCAAAGAAATGCAGCAGCCGCAGCCGCTGGCCAGCAGTCCTGAGCACATGGTTTGTGCGGGGGGGGGGGGGGGGCCCCCGGGTAATCTGGAGCCATCCTGTTGTCTTATTTTGCTTGCTTTAGTGTTGACTTTCTTGCTCGCAGGCTCTTTGCATTGATTCTTGCTGCTGTTACCGACGCCTGACTCCAGTGTCCTAACTCCGTTAGAGGACTGATTTGATGCTGCTGACCACAGCTGTTGAAGAAAGCAAGCCAACCCTCCTGTGGGAGTTGCATCCCAGGTAAGTGTGAAGCGCTGCTTCTCGCTCCTCTGCCCCCGCCCCCGCTCTGCTCCCTCATTGTCTCCCTGGCCAGTGCTGATGGAGGGTGACCCCTGCAGGGCCTGCTCTGTTCTCATCCATCAGAGGAGCCATGCTGGTGAGTCTCGAATGCAGAAGAGGAGTAACTCTGATGGGAGGCGCAACAGGCATCTCCTGGAGCCCTCTCTGCTAGAAGCGAGCTGGATGGCCTCAGGAAGGTGGTGGGTCACTGCAGCCACCCCAGGGGGCCTCGCCAGACAGGATGTCAGGGTTTGTGTTGTCAGCGTGGGCTGCCGTAATGAGTCCCACAGACGGGGTCGCTTGGCAGAAATGAGTTTCCTCACAGATCTGGAGGAGGGAGGTCCCAGGTCAAGGTGGAGGCAGAACTGGTTCCTACCGAGGCCCCTCCTGGGCCTGGAGAGAGTCGTGCTCTCCTGTCTTCATGCAGATTCCCTGTCTGTGCCCAGGTGGCCCCTTCTTCCAAGGGGAGGCCGTCATGCTGGACTAGAGCCCACCTAATAACCTTATTTAACTTTATCTCTTTAGGCTCCATCCCCAGGTATGGTCCTGTTCTGAGGAACTGGGCCTTAGGACTTTAGAGTGTGAATTCCTGGGGACACCAGTGAGCCTGCACCTGGATCGAATCCAAGACACCAACCATGCCTGTCCTAAAAACATCCAGGGTTTTTTCCTCCTCCCAGTGCCATGTCTTTGTTTCAGCCCCCTATGTCGCACCTGAGCCTACCCGTGCTTACTGCACACCAGTCACACGGCCACCCTGCCCTCCGTGGGTTTCCTCAGTGGGTCTCCCCTGGTCTGCCGCACTTGAGCAAGCTCTGGCTTGTTCTCACAGATGGATGATCACACCTGGTGTGAGAGTTGGACTAATGGGGCTCAGAGAGGGGAGTGTGCATGTTCTTTGGGGGTACCTTCCTGTCCTTCCCACCTCCCGCCTCAAACTGCCAACAGGTGGGACTGTGCTTCTGGTGAAGAAGACGAGGCATTGAAGAATCACTGGACTAGAGCTGTGGAAATCTCAGAGAGAAAGATCTGAGCAAAGGAAATATCCGCTTCTGTGGGTGACACAACGTTGACAGCTAAGGGCAGCCGGCCGACTCAACGAGATGAAGTCTAACCGGAGCTAATGTTCAGCCTGGTGCTTTCCTTGAGACGGCTCAGCGGCGAAGCACAAGACCCAGGAGACGTGGCATGAGCTGGGTTGACGGTGAGTCTGCGTGAGTCCCGTGAGTCTCGGCTCCCTGGGCCTGTGCGAGCTTCGTCTCTGCAGGGATGGGGTTTTGTCTAAGGCCAGGGAGGAAAGAGTCTCATTTTTCTTGGGGCAGATCAGTGTCCTCCAGGCCTAAGTCTTCAGACGAAGCACCACACTTTAAAGAGATGATGGCAAATGAAGCAATGAAGTATATCCTGGGGAGAAAGGGCTGGAAGACTGGAGGGTGTTGCAAAGAGAACACTCGGGAGAGAAGGAGCATGCTGGATGCACAAAATCCTCGCCAAGTTGCCAGGTAGACATTACATTCTATGGGGATGCAGCATGACCAACAGTGGGTGGAAATGAAGGGGAACCTGATTATGCACCCGTACATTACACAGAGGATACGTGGGGAAGTGGTGCCTAAATGCTTAAACAGAAATCAGGCTTCTTGGAGAGAAATTTGGAGAGGTTGTAGAGGTGACTAATTATTGAGAATAATGATAACAAAAGAAAAAAAAATGGAGAACAATATGGAAGAAACAAGTCAAAATATACCCATAATCACATAAACACAAACGTGTGAAGGCAACTCTTAAAAGATGTATAATTCAAGTACACGTTTACAAGAGAAAAACACAAGCCGACACAATAAGGTTGAAGTTAAAGAGGTAAAAAGGGATACATCAGATAAATATTAATGGAAAGAAAGCTAGTAGCCTGTAGCTTGAAAGTAGCAATGCTGATACTGGAAAAAAAATATACTCCAAGGAAATGTTTATTTTCCCATCTCAGCCCTCAGCAGGTTTCTCTCTCCTCTGCTTCACGTTGGAGTATAAATCCCAGGAGAACCGAGAACTTGTTCTGTTCACCGCTGAATCTTGAGTGCTGAAACATTTGTGGGTCGTGGTGAGTGCTCAGTACTGTTTGTTGAGTAAAGAAAGTGACTGCTAAGCCTTCTTGGAGTACTGAGGCTCTGACTGGAAGGTGTGGTATCAGCTCTTCCTTTGGTTCTTCAATGCTGCATGACGAATGCCAACTTCCTATTGTCTGCTGTGATTCTGTGGGCAACCGGGGCTCAGCTGGTGGTTCTCCTTTGGGATCTCTAATACAGGTGCCGCCTTCATGACTAGAGCTGGAATCTCTAATGGCTCAACTCTGCTGGACATCCAAGATGGCGCACTTGCATGGCTGGTGGTTAGTACTGGTTGTTAGCTGGGAGCTCAGCTGGGGGCTGTTGACCAGAGTGTCCATATGTGGCCTCTCCAGATGCCTTAGGCTTATCATGGACAGGTTGCAAGATGTTGTATGGGACAGGAAACGGAAGCTTCTGAAGTGCTGAGCCTGGAAACGAGGAAGTGTCCTTATATCACAATTGATTGGTTAAGCAGCCATGGAGCCCAACTAGATGCAAGAGAGGGGCCATGGATCCCTTCCTCAGTCCCTTTCTGCATGGAGAAGCATCAGAGAATTTGTGTTCATCTTTAGTTTATCACAGACATCCAGATGAGGGGGGTGGTCTCTGTTTTTTATCTTGAGAAGTGACGGATGTGACTCCTCGAGTCCAGGCACATCTCTTCCCAGGGAAGACAAAACCCATGGTGGAAAGAGTGCTGTTCTAGAATGTCCGCAGGATGTGAGGGCTGGACAAGATGCTCCTGAGATCTCTTCCTAGAGCAAACTTCCGGGATGGGACCTTCAGGAAAGAAGCCCAGTAATTGCACTAACCCTCTGAAGGTGGAAGGTTTCCCTGAGGGCAAGACTTTGAGGCCTGAGCTAGGGGTGGCGAACTTGCTCCTCCCCATTCCTGCCTCTCTGGAATCTGGTGCCTAGAGCAGTGCCGTCAGCCACACCACCTGTCCTGGGGACTGTGCACCCGCAGAGAGGTGCCCTAAGCATCTTGCAAATGCTGGCACCCATCTGTCCCCTGAGCGATGGGGTGGGCATCTGTGACTCACGGTACTTTTCCTCTCCAATGGCAATGTGTGGTGGCGCACACCTGTAATCCCAGTGGCTCAGAAAGCTGAGGCAGGAAGTTCAAAGCCAGCCTCAGCAAAGGCGAGGGGCTAAACAACTCAGTGAGACCCTGTCTCTAAATAAAATACAAAATAGGGCTGGGGATGTGGCTCAGTGGTCGAGTGCCCCTGAGTTTAATCCCTGTACCCACCCCCACCCTCAAAAAAAAAAAAAGGTGAAGGTGGAATTGTTGGTGCTTTGGTGTGGTCAGTTTTAAAATGTGGGATGTATTTGGGAGATGGCTCATTAATTTCTCTTGCTTTTTTACCTCCTTTTCCAAGGCGGTCCCAGTGCTCTCCTGTCGTGTGTCCACGCTTCACCTAGGCGTTCGTGGGAGGAGCCCTCAGTACCTGAGTGGGATTGCAACCTCCTGGCCAGGTCATGGCAGACGAGGGACAGTTGCTCTGTGACCTTGACCCACATTCTATTGCCATGAAGGAAAACCCTGGAGCCTTTTAGAAACTCATGCTCTGTTTCACACTATTTGCTCTCCTGTTCCCCAGAACGTCCCATGACATCGGACAGTGACAGGGACAGCACAGGGCCCTGCCGGAGGCCTGGCGAGGCTCAGAGCACCAACGTGGGGGCTCCCTTTGCTCCAAGCACAAGTCTGCCTTCTGCCATCACTGATGGCCGCGGGTCCTTGTGAGGTGCTACAGTTGGAAGAACTGTTTCTCTAAATCATTCCACAAATGTTCATGGGTCCTCCCCACCCCCAACCCCACCTCAAACCAGTTTGCAGAGGTAATCTGTGCTGCATTGGTCTCCTAGGGCTGCTGTAACAAAGTTAGCACACTGAGTGGCTTAGGACAACAGAAAATTACGTGGTCCCAGTTTGGGAGGCCGAGTGTCCAGAATCAAGCGGTCGGCAGGGCTACATCCTGCTGGCAGCTTTCAGGGAGAATCTCTCCAGCAACGTCGGGCAGTTGCCGGCAGCCTTTGGCATCCCTGTCTCCGATTTCGGGAGGCCTGCTTACCTGTGTGTGTTTTGTGAGTCTTCTCCTCCCGTGAGGATACCTCCCTTGACCCCTCCACTCCTCAGTGTGAACTCATCTTAACTAATGACTACTGCAAAGACCCTGTCCCCAAATACAGTCTCACTCTGAGGTTCCATGTGGACCGGGTTCTTTGAGAGACAGACACAACTCAGCCCACTGCTCATGCCTTGGGGCAAGTGCCCCCGAAAGGCAGAGCCGGTGTCAGGCACGTTTTATGACGTTGGGTCTGGAGAGAGGACGTGTTTCTGAATGGGAAAGGAAGGAGGAGGAGGAAGGGCTCGCAGAGAAGCCAGAGTCCTCTTGTTGCTCCAGGGCCTGGACATGCCAGAGTCCCTCTGGACAGCTCTGCTGGGTGCGCCCAGGAGCAAGGGTGAGGGAATGGGTCACTTTGTAAAATAAGGCTCCAAGAGCAACTAGGAGCAGGAGGTGGGAGGCCTGGAAGGCAGCTGGGCTGGACTTCTCCCCATGACATGGAGACAAGACCACCTCCCCATCCCAGGGCTGCGCCACAGCCTGGTTCTGCTCCAGCAGATATCCCCTGTCCCCAGAGGGCATCGGAGCAAGGGCAGACAGGTCACTGGTGGAAGGTAACAGGCGATGGTGGGCATGTGAACCAGAAGCCACTCCCTCAACCATGGGAACTGGGCCCACCCTGAGCTCCCAGCCGGCGATGGGGTTCCTCCCTTGACCCCTCCACCCAGACCAGCCCCCAGCCGCAGTTTCCTCCCAGCTGGGAGAGGGTGTGAAATTACTCAACGTTTGCGTCCTGTCAGAGAGCCGAATTATGACTCCTCCGTTTCCAAAAGTGGTGGATTTGGCCACATATTGAATAACAAAGATGTGAATTTTCTTAGCCACCCAAAACCTCATCGCTCTCAGCTTACAGCCCACATACAGCAGAGTCATTAAATTTCAAACCAGAAGCTTAAATCCCAGGTGAATCAAAATAAAAGACGCCAGCAGAACATGCAGGAAAACAGCCGTCGCCCAGAGAGCGCGCTTTCAGCGAGATTGCTGTCCCTCAAAAGGCATTTTATCATTCTCAGTACTTGTCCTGATTTACCCTATTTTTGTTAATCAGTTGAACTTCTGAGAGGGGGGACCTCCCCTGGCTTCAGAGAAGGGAGGCAAAGAGCATCCACTTATGGACAGGCCAAAGCTGGGGCCTCCTGGCCTGTACTCCCGCAGCCCTGGCTCCTCCTCCCTCTGTGGAAACGACCCCGTGGACCCCTGCCCTGGACGGCTGGAAGTGGGAGGATGCCCTGATGCCTGCTCACCCACCCAACAGTCAGAGGGCTGTGGCTCTGCCTGCTCTGTCCTGTGGCACCCAGTCCTGGGCCTCCTTCAGGATGGAGCTGGGTCCTGGTGTTGATGCTGGAGTTGCTCATGGGACTCTAACTCGCTCATCTACGCCTCCACTCACCTGAGGGAGAGAGGTAGGAGTCCATTTTCACAGAAGGCCAACATCACAGTTCCAGAACCCCCAGGCAGCACAGGCATGGCTGTCCACCCTCAGCCCTGGAGAGTCAATCGAGGGTGCGTTCCATAATGAGACAAGCCACATCCTGCCCACTGTTCTGCACAAGAACAAGAGGCAAGGCAAACTGCCTCCACTGTGCCCTACAGGGCACAGGCTTCGGAAGATGGAAGCTTCTGTTTGAAAGGGTGATGGTTTAAGAGAGGGCTTCTCCACCAGGGAGAATCGCAGAACTACTTGGTGGACCTGGTAACTGCAGACAAGTCCCGTGTCAGACTCGAGGCAGCCCAGGGAGGGCATGCAGATGACTGCACGGTTGGCAGTGCACCTTGTGTCTTTTTGGAACTTTTCTAAATACATGTAACTAATGCTCATGGAAAAAACAAACAAACAAACAAACCACTAAACAATAAAGGGCCTGGTGGAACACAGGAGGCCGAGGCAGGGGGATCTCAAGTTGGAAGGCAGCCTCAGCAACTCAGTGAGACCCTGACTCCAAAAAAATAAATAAATAAAAAGGGCCAGGGATGTGGCTCAGTGGTTAAGCACCCCTGGGTTCAATTCCCAGTGCTAAAACAAAATAAAAAAAAAGAAAAGGAAGAATAAAGCTATGACGCACAAAGGAGGACATTACATTAAATTATCGACATAAATGCTGGTGTCCACCAGACTTCTCTGTAGGAGAACACAGCATTGGAAAGCACAGGACGTAGAACAGGAAGCCCTGCCCCAGCCCTGGAGTGGACATTGCAGTCATCAGGAAAGAGATAAATTCTCAGAAGTGCAGGAAATTGCACAGTATAAGACAGATTTATTTTTGCTGAAGACTTATAAAAGCTTTTACAAAGGGAATTCCATTGGGATAGGAGACACACCCCACTCCACCCATGCCCAAGTTGTCACCTCTCCCCAGGTGTTTGAGCGTGATCCTGCAGAATATGGATACTTAGGAAACTTAAGAGTATGCAGAGTGTGCCATTTTATCACCTGTTTTTCTCACTAAAATACAAATTCTGAACATTGTCCCCTGTCATTACAAATTCTTCCAATAGCTGAATAGAGTAAGGATTAGGAGGAGAAGAACCTGGTAAATCAAATTGACGAGGTCTAAATCCCAGTTCTCAGAATTGCTAGCAATGTGTCCTTAGGCCCATTCCTTGGCATTGCTCGCCTTACTCTCTTGTCAGAAAAGACTGATAGCGGTATATACCTTGCAGGGGTATTGTGGAGATTAAATAAGCTGAAACTACGTGCCATGTTCTTCTCTCCAATAAATTCAACTATTACAATTTTTCTTTTAATGCAAATGTTAATGGTTCCACAATGGTTCTCCATACTGCTCTTCTATGAATTATTCACCTTATCTGTGTATTTTGGGTTTCAATTTCTTGGCCACTATAAAAGCGATATAATGAATATCTTTGGGCCTACCACTTAGAATCCTAGGAGTGGAATTTCTGGAGCACATTTTTTTACTGTCTTATGCAGTCTAGATGAAGTTTGAAGTGGTCCATGGGTGGGTGCTCCACAGCACTGGTACCTCAGCATGCATAAGCAAAGCCATGCATCACTGTACCACATCAGGACCACGCTGTGTGTTAGTGGTGATACCCAGTGTCGTCAGAGGACCTGCTGAGAAGGGGTGACTTGGGAACCCCTTCTGCTACTGGGGTCACACACCTGGGTTGCCAGGCTTTCTCCTCTCTCCTCATTTCTTCCAGGTCCTGAGCATTAAATCTTGGGTTTGGGGCTGCACATGATCATCTTCCTGGCTGCTTGGGCTCCCCAGGCACCGCCATGTCTCTCTAGCCCGCATAGCACACCCACTTAACCAAGCTCCTCTCCCACCCCATGTTTGGAGACCCGTGATTTCCTCCTTCTCCGCTCATGCCAGCTCCTCCCCCACCCGGCTCCAACCTTGGCA